GGCATTTTTGCCATCTGAGATTATCTCTTTTTTCTGTAACAAAGCACTTGTTAACTAGTGTTGTAATTCCTGGATTGTCTGTCCCATAGACTGTAAGCTCTGTGAGGATGAGAACTGTATTCACACACTTCCACAGTATTACTATACACACACAAACACACTATATATACACATGCATACACACACCATATATACACACATCCACAAATGATGTATACACACTGTATATACACACACATACACACTATATAGACACATATGTACACACTATATATATGTACATACACACTACACACACATCCACAAATGATATACACACATCCACAAATGATATATATACACACACTATATACACACATACACTATATATACACATACACACTATATACACATATTATATACACACACTATATACACAGATGCACATACACACTATATATACACACACTATATACACATACATACACAGTATACATACACTATATACAAAGATACACACACATATATACTATATTTATACATACATACTATATGCACAGACGCACATACACACTATATATACACACATACACACTATATACACACACACTATATATATACACTATACATACATACCCACACACTATATACACAGATGCACATGCACACTATACACACACTATAGATACACACACTATACACATACATACACATTATACATATATACACACTATATACACAGATGCACACACACATACACACTATACATACACATATATACACTATATACGCAGACGTACATACACACACTATATAAACACATACATACACTATACACACAGTACATATGCATATACTATACACATACACTATGTACACACACATACACACTATATACACACATACATACAATGTACACACACTATATACATACTATTTACACACAAATATAAACACACATACACACTATATATACACACACATATACACTATATATACACAAATACTACCTATATACACAAACACACACTTACACTTAGCAACAGCTTTACACTTAAACTTAGCAACAACTTCAATGAATTTTTTTGGATTGTTCCTTACATGAAGGAAGCTACAAGCTCAATTCCACGTCTGTCATGTTTACCATTTGTCTCTGTCATATGTATTTGTTGAGTGAATGCCCACGGCCGAGCCGAGTCTGAGCAAATTCATGTAACTTGGAGAACTTATGAATCAATTTCCTAAAGCCTTTCTCTTCCCAGAGATGACTCCTCGGTGCTCATCAAGCTCCTGGATGATAATACTCCTTCCTTCTGAGTGGCCAAAGAGAACAAACTCTGAGCTGTACAACCTGCAAAGTTAACCGCAGATTCTTGCACACTGGAGAGTCTTTTTTCTTTTAATTTGCTTATCCATAAAAAGCAACTCCTCATCCTTTAACATTTAATCATGAGATTGAACTAATTCAGTGGCCTCTTCAGGCTCCTCTTGTAGTGCTAATTCTGCTATTTCCACCTCATCCCTGGTGAAGTCTTGAGTCCCTCACACTGATCCATGAGAGCACTGGAGATTCTAATGTGGGGGCTTCTCAACTGTACTCCCTCCTGAAATGGGCTTTCAAAAATTAGACAATCATATCCCTTGACTGAAGAATGCCTATCTTCTAAGACAGCATCTCATTCCCTTTGGTAAATAGAGCTAGGAGGATTATGAAAACAGAAGAGAACAGCGGCCTCCTCCTCCGTCCAGACTGCTCAGGCTATGCAGGTAACCAGTGGAGACAGAAGTCAGCCCTTGGTGCTCCAAACAAATTCTACACTGGAAAGGCAGCAGGCAAAGGAACAACAGCAGCATTGAAAAGGGTCGAAGATGACAAATTTATTTTAACTGAAAATCCAGCACATGATGAAACTAATGTGGTGTCGAAATACAATAATCATCCTTACAGACTAGCTGTTAAATAACCGTTAAAAAGAGAGCCACCTCATCTGTGACTGTAAACTCTCCACCGCGCAAACATGGACTGTCAATGCAGACAGGAAAGGAAAGGAGTTTAACCAAAGTTAGAATAGCACCTGCATGCCCACGTACTCTGTTTAGTAACTTCACAAAAAACAATTACGGCCTCAATTCCCCCTGTGAAACAACTTGATGAATTTTTAAATCACGAGGGCTTTGCTCAAGTTCAATATCAGCCCAACCCTACCCCCAGAGGAACTGGGTGCTTTCTTCCCTCTCTCTCACTGCTGCTCATGGGGTTTTCAAGATGGTCTCTCTATGGGGTTTCCCTCACTGGGCTAGCCCCAGCCCAGCAAGGCTCCTTCTCCAGGGCTGCTGAGTGGTCAGACAGGAAGCAGCATGCTGACCTGGGCTTATTGAGAGATGAGTACTGCTTCTCCAATCCAAATCTTGATGACGACTATTAATACAATTTTTCCACCCTTCAAGAAATCTCTAGCACACATCAATGTACACATCTGAAAACGTATACTTCTAAATGTGAGTATGGTGGTCTCCCCTTATCCAGGTGTCAGTTACCTGCCATCCAGTGCTATCTGAGGGACCGGTGTTGTGGCACAGTGGGTTAAGCTGCTGCCTGGGGCACCTGCATTCCACATGGGAGGGCAGGTTTGAGTCCCAGCTGCTCTGCTTATATTCTAGCTCCCTGCAGATGCACCTGGGAAGGCAGAACAAAATGGCTCAGGTACTTGGGGCCCTGTACCCACACGAGAGACCTGGATGGAAACCTGGCTCCTGGCTTCAGCTTGGTGTAGCCCCAGCCATGTGGCCATTTGGGGAGTGAACCAGCAGATAGAAGATACTGCTCTCTCCCTGTAACTACCTTTCGTTAAATGGAAAATTCCAGAAGGAAACAGTACATAAGTTTTAGGCTATGTGTCATTCTGTGTATTCAGATGAAATCTTGTGCCATCTGGCTGGGGAACTGAATCACCCCTTTGTCTGGTGCACCTGTGCTGTATATCCTACTCACCCGTTAGTCACTTAGCAGCCATCTCAGAGCCAGATTGACTGTGACATCATAGTGTTCATGCTCAAGTTAGCCTTATTTTGCTTACAAGTGGCCCCGAAGTACAACAGAATGGATGCTGGCAGTTCTATTCCAGCATGTTGCCATCATTGTTCTAATAGTTATTATTGTTAATCTCTTATCATGTCTAATTGACAAATCAAACCATCACAGGTAGGTATGTATTCAAAAAACATAATATAGATAGGAATCAGTATAATCTATGGTCTCAGGCATCCACTGGAGGGGTCTTGGCACACATTCTGTGGATAAGGGGGAATGATTTTCTAACTACGAAGACAAAGGACAGAGACCTTACTTAGTTCACCTTTCCAATTCTTGGCTCTACACACCTAAATTTGTATGGGAGTCCCCTGCACGGGTTCTGAGTGATTCAAGAGGAATATAGAAGAGAACAGGCAGAAAGCAGTCAGGCAGGGGCTGGCACTGTGATGTAGCAGGCTAAGCCTCCACCTGCGGTGCCAGCATCCTATGTGGGCACTGGTTTGTGTCCCGGCTGTTCTTTGACTCAGCTCTCTGCTTATGGCCTGGAGGAGCAGTGGGAGATGGCCCAAGTACCTGGGCCCCTGCATTACGTGTGGGAGACCTGGAGGAAGCTCCTGGTTCCTGGCTTAAGAGTAGGCCCAGCTCCGGCTGTTGATGCCATTTGGGGAGAGAATCAGCGGATGGAAGACCTCTATCTCTGTCTCTTTCTCTCTCTGTAACTCTGCTTCTCAAATAAATAAAATAAATCTTTAAAAAAAAAAAAAAACAGTACATAAAGGTACCTGAGAGGATCTTTCTCCAAGCTCCTTTTAGGACTTGTGTTACATAAACCATTTGCTTGATAATTTTTCATTGTGGTTTGTGATTGTTTCTCACCTTGGTTATTTTATAATTTCATAATGTAATGTAGTTTTTAAAAGAATTAAGACCTAAGGAATTGGGTTGAATCACATAAAATGCTGTTTTTAAGGTAAAAAATTAATTAATCAGGGGTGTTATTTGGCTCACCTTAATACTTATCTTGGAATTCAAGAAGCTCTTTTTTAAAAAAAATTGTATTTATTTATTTGAAAGTAAGAGGTAGAGAGAGAGGGAGAGACTGAGAGAGTGAAACTTTCCACTTGCTGGTTCAGTCTCCACAATGGCCAGGGCTGAGACAGGCTGAAGCCAGGAGCTTCTTCTGGGTCTCCTGTGTGGGTACAGGGACCCAAATACTTGGGCCATATTCTGCAGCCCTTCCCAGGACACCAGCAGGAAGCTGGATCAGAAGTGGAGTAGCCAGGGCACAAACCTGGAAGCTGGATTTGTGGCAGCTTTACCCACTAAACCACAACCAACCCCTAAAAAAAGCTCTTATTTTTTTTCTTTATAAACATTCATTTATTTATTTGAAAGGTAGAGAGAGAGAGAGAGAGAGAGAGGGAGGGAGGGAGAAACAAAGAGAGAGAGAGATCTTCCATCTGCTGGTTCACTTCCTAAATGGCCACAACAGCCAGGGCTGTGCCAGGCTGAAGCCAGGAATCGAGCTTTTGGGTCTCTCATGTAGGTACAGGGGCCCAAGCGCTTAGGCTATCATCTGCTTTCCCTGGAGCATTAGCAGGGAGCTGGATTAGAAGTGGAGCTACAAGGACTGGAACCAGAACCCATTTGGGATACCAGTGCCACAGGCGGCAGCCTTACCCACTGCTCCACAGCACCGCCCTCCCCCCCTTAAATAAGCTCTTAATTATGTCTTCTTGCCATTTTCTTCCTTGGGACAATAATTTAGACACTGCCCCACAATGACTACGTTTCTCCCTCTAAAACCTGTAAAAAGTTTCTTCCCAAATGGATCAAAAGGTTCACTGCTTTTTTCCAAATACCAAGTTCCTATTATAAAGCAAACTATTACATTGTATAACTTAATTAATAACAGAATTTATGGCCTTTTTCAAAATATATCAAAAACAAGGAGAACTTATGAGGAATAATACAGTCCTGAGCTTACCTTCTTCTGTAGGATTAAACCCACAGATGTCACAAATGCAACGAACCCACTTATTCATCTCCTCCTCACTGTCTGCCACCAAGTAGAAAATCCGGTCAATAGTGTTGATATCAAAAATGTAGCTGTTTTCAAACTCCTTTTTGTTAAATGTCAAGCCAGCATCGACTTGCTGACATAAATTTAAATCAATAATACGAATAGGCTTTTTGGCGTGATCATTTTTGTAATATTCCAAGACATCCGGATCTCCAGTTAAACGGCCACTGCGTAACACAAACCATCTCCTCTTCCATGCCTAGAAATAAAGAAAAAAAAAAAAGATCCATTTAGCATTAATTTGAAATTTTTCAAGAAGCTGCACATTTATAAAACTGATTTGATAAATGCATTGTCCAGAGACAGTCACAATGTTTTTGCTTTGTTTCCAAAGCAAAAGTCAAGTTTATCCAGGCCTCAGTTAACTTAGTAATGTACATATATTTAGTATCTTCTATTACATCTCCTACTATATAATATCAAATCAACAAGCCAAGGAAGGGATGGATTTCACTAGATATAAAAAAAGTAATGGTTTCAACAAATGGTGTTGAGAAAGCTGGATATCCACACGCAAAAGCATGAAGTTGGATGTCCCACCAAGTGAAAATAAGCCAGACACGAAAGGACAAATGGTGTATACTTCCACTTAATATGAGGCACTCAGACAAAGACAGCAGAATGATGGTTGTCAAGGGCTGTGGGAGAGGAGGAAAGGAGAATTAGTGTTTCCTGGGTACAAAGTTCCAGTTGGGGAAGATGGAAAAGCTCAGGAGACGGATGGTGCTGATGGCTGTACAACAATGTGAAGGCGCTTAACAACACCTCAACCTGGTCAATTTTATGCTATGTATATTTTACCACAATTTTTACTAAAAGCCATGGTTTCTCACACCTTGTTATCATGCCATAAAAATGTACAAAAAGTTGCTTCTTCATAAAGATTCTACCACTTCTAAGCTATAGATTTCTTGTTTTTAGGTGTGGGGGCAGGGAAAGGTTGAGGGGAAAATGGATTTAGAAGCTTTCCTGGCTTCGCACATGAGAAGCAAGCGATGCACTTTGTCTTTCTTTGGTGTGCCTGTTTGAAGATCTGTGCCAACTAGCAATGGCTTCATTTTATCCTGAAAATATATGTGAACATGGAGAAAAGAGGACTGACAGCTAAAATCTACATACACTTCGCCAACACATGCTTACTTGTAGTCTCTATTGTCCCCAAATTTTCTACGGAATTATGACATGAACTGATTTTGAGTCATAGTTCTCTGATGGACCTGCCAGGAAGCTTATGACAATGGCCTGAGGCAGAGGTACACAAAGTGAAAACTAAAGGGCCTGAGGAGATCCAGAAACCAGCCTGTTCAGCCTTTAATAATTTGGACAGCTATACTCAATTCATTTGGGTGATCACTTGAGGTTTAGTATTTTAAGAAAATTTAGCTGCATTAAGAAGAAAATTAGGGGTGGGTGTTGCAGCACGGTAGGTTAAGCCGCTGCCTGCAATGCCTGCACCTCATAGCAGAGTGCCAGCTGGAATGCTTGGCTCTTCTGCTTCGAATCCAGCTTCCTGCTGATGTACTTTGCACAGAAGCAGATGATGGTCCAAGCCCCTGGGTGCCTGCCACCTATGTGGGAGACTCAGATGGAGGTCCAGGTTCCTTGCTTTGTTCTGGCCCAACCCTGGATATTGCACTGGGGAGTAAACCAGTGGACAGAAGATCCCTCTCTGCTTCTCTCTCTCCCTGTCACTCTGCCTTTCAAATAAATACATTTTTAAAAAATCAATGAGTTAGTCAATGTGCTATTGATTATGTTGTAAACACTGTGCTGGGTACTTGTGGGAAGAAACATAAACATGTAATTCATGATTGCCACCCTCAAGGATTTTATTAATTGTGAAGTAATAGGTAACATACATGAAAATGTGCAAACATAGTAATCCTGGCAAAATACCTGCACAACTTTTGCGATAGACAGGCATTCTGTTATGGAAAACACAATCCTTTAACAAGAAAATCACAAAAAAATGTGAGGAGGAGGCAGGGTAGAGTTCCAAAGATGTTTCAAATAGTATCAAAAAGTCATAAAGCATTAAATTTACATAAATTTAGTACTGGTTTCTGGATTTAAAAATCCAGAAGGCAGGGGCTGGCATTGTGATGTAGTGGGTAAAGCTACTGCCTGCAGTAGGGGCATCCCTTATGGGTTTGTGTCCTAGTTGCTCCACTTCCAATCCAGTTCCCTGCTAATGCACCTGGGAAAGCAGTGGAAAATGGCCCAAGTCCTGGGGCCCCTGTACCCACAGGGGAGACCCAGATGAAACTCCAGTGTCCTGGGTTTGGCCTGGTCCAGTGCTGGCATTTGTGGGCATCTCAGGGCCTGAACCAGTGGATGAAAAACAGATCTCTCCCCCTCTCCCTCTAAAAATGAATTTAAAAAACTTTAAAAAAATATATTTGATATGCATCTATTTTCTTAAAAATAAGTACCATTTCTTAGTACAATTGTGCCTCTGCAGATGTTTGCCCATCAGGCAGTAAAGATGAAAAAGTAATGAAAAAGTAAAGGAAAAAGAAAATAGAGTATCCAGGGCCATCAAGGAATCACACCTCTTGGTAAGTGACTTTTCCAGATAAGTGAGGGCTCCATCTTTAAACACAGAAATGACTTTTTAAAACTTTAATGCCTTGCATGAGAATCTTTTTAAAACGCCTTACTACATAATTCATTGAACATAATCCATCCATTCCCCAATGATTCAGGCTAAGTATTATAGGCATCAATTCCTGTCCTGCTCTGTAGTGAGGCTCTCAGGGGCCGCGGGGCAGGACAGAGGGACATCTGCCCCTAGACTGAACAGTGCCTCACTGCTATGCTTATATATATAGTTCATCTGTGGTCTTTCAAACACAGTTTTCTGTCTTTCCTCTCTTATAAGTTTTACCAATTGTCATTTCTCTCTTCTGATAATACAGTTCCTGCTGGAGACTTTGCACCTGCTAGACATCCATTATGCTCTTCGGCCTGGCCCTCTCCAATCATTAGGCTTTCTCTTCCTGACCACCTCAACCTATCCACCTGCAAGGTAAAGTAGCGGCCCTGTTACCAACATACTGACTTTTCTTTTTTTGCAATTCAATTTTTCCTTGCGTTCATTTGTTTAGCTTCCAATGCCCTAAACTAGATCGAATAGCCCAAGAAGACAGCGACCATGTCTGCTGTATTTGCCATTACATACACAATGCAAAGCACAGTACCTCTTACTCAGAAATATTTGTACCATAAATAAATACCCTTCTAAGAGTATGTTGTAGAAGTTATGAGAATAGTAGATTCGATATATGAGCCACATGAAAAGGAGTACTTTTTAAAACATTTTCACTTAAAGAGTTCTGCTAGTAAACATCCACAGGATAAAATAAAATACACATGTATCAAACACCTTGGGGAAATGACAAAACAGCTTATGTGTCACTCTTTGTATTCTGGTTGCCTGTGGCTTCCTCCATCTATTCCTTTGCTTTCCTATTGAAAATCACACTGTTAAAATTCAAAATCCCCTTAGAAATGAAAACAACTAAGAAATGAGTAGCAATGAATCGAGGTGCACTAGATACCCCGGGCCAGCAATCACAGGCTGAGTAGACATGGTACAAGACGTGAACCCTTACAGCAGGAAATGACAGCATTGAAGTACAGACTTTCGCCAAGTGGCACCTGCCACTTATTTATTTATTTTTAACATGGTCCAAATGTGAATGTTTGTCTCAGTCACAAAATGAGTCACTCTCATTGAATCTGGCACAGATTAAAATGGAAAACAAAAGCAATTACATAAAGTACACACTTTAATAAGGCAGATACAAAGGTTCTCTGGATTGTGGTACAAAGCACAGTGTAGCCACAGAATAAAGCTTGGTGCTCGACAAGAGAACTGACATCAGCACCCTTGCTAATCACAGCACAAAAGCTTCTCTATGTTTTGTCAGAGCACAAAACGGGCCCATATAAGTCAGTCTTTGTTATCTGAAAATATCTGGGATTCTTAAAGTTCGTCCTATTTTTATCCTTGCTGCCTTGGTAGCCCCAGAGAAAGCTGCACCCTGCCTTTGCCAATCCTTGCAGAGCAGTAACAAAAAGGACACATTTTCTAGAAATCTTCAAAACCGAATACGCAAAGCAGTTTTACGCAAAATTCACGTGAAAAGCCATCTCAACTATTAGATTTCCATCACAAGGAGGTAATGAAGATGAAATCTGCAAGAAGTCTGAACAGCTGAGAAGGGCTGGGTAGAAACTTACTTTGTTGTCATATTTTATGTGCAATTTAAGTCACTCTCATTTTAAGTCGAATAAATGATGTAGCAACATGATATCATTAGCAAATCTACACTTTGAAGTAGCATAAAAGTACTATACCTTGATTCCCTAGGCCCGGTGATTGTCTACTTGCTACAAAGTCTTTGGTCCTCCAGCAATCTCCTACCCACTACCCCTAATTTTTCCATCCTTGCTTCTTGCCTCTTTGTCTTCCACCCACCTGGGAAAGCTTGCAGTCCCCCTAACACTCTGCTCTCTCCTACCACTGCACCTGACGTGTGTAACCCTGGAGGCACAAGATCTAACCCCTGGATTCAACTCAGCCCGCTCTGGCCACAGTCACTGAGCTGGCTCTGAGCTCTTAGTTTCTGCTTTGTTCCCAGTTACATGACTGACAACCCCTGCATCTGAATTTTTTGAGAGCTAGAGTCTTTTTTTTTTTTTTTCATCTTTCTTTTCCCACTGCCTCACTCCAAGTACATCCTCCGTCAATGTCTGCTGAACGTGCAGTCGAAACTCATTTGGGCAAGGATAAAATCGTGAAAGTTCTCACACTGTCCCTGCATTATGGGGATAATGACATGACTGCCATCCGGTCAGCCCATTCAAGCACTATCAGGCATGGGGAGAAGTGTAGAAACAGTAAATCAATTTGTTTTAAAAACTGCAGATACGAGATTTATAAACTTCACATTGAAAAAACTTCATAAAGTACCTTCTGTACTTAAGAAAACCGGATGCATTATTCTGAGGACAAACCTATCATACTGAAGCTAGGTCTTAAGTTAGTCTGATCACACACAAACAGGGTAGAGGTATGTGCATAGTGATAAGAAACTGCAGGGGGCCGGGGCCTCGGCTCACTAGGCTAATCCTCCGCCTTGTGGCACCGGCACACCGGGTTCTAGTCCTGGTCTGGGCGCCAGATTCTGTCCC